CTCACTGAATTAGCAATTTGCCCTAAATCAGCACTTCCGCTCCATGTTGACAATGAAGGAGCTGAGGCTTTGGCAAACAATCCCCAACATCACTCTAGAACAAAGCACATCGACGCCAGATACCATTTTGTCCGCGACTGCGTCAAGGATGACATTTTCAAGATCGTACATGTTTCCACGCACAACATGCTGGCTGACATGCTCACCAAACCGCTTCCACGAGTTCTACTGGAAAAACATTGTGTTATGTTTGGTCTTGTTTAATTTTCTTTTTGCGTACTGTTTCTCTTTTCTTTGTCATTGAAACCAGTTATCAGCAAGGGGGGGTGTTGAGTTATCTATGTCACAGGTCTATTCTCATTTCCATAGCTACACTACTGTCTGTGCTTCTATCTGATTTCACCTCTCACATGTCACAGTTTGTGACACTCATCATGTTCTAGTTCTTATACTGGAGTCAGCACTGTTGGAAAGGATTCCTCTTTCCTCATCCTTTCCAACCGTGTTGTCTCCAGGTCAGTCTCTTCTTTTTCCTTTTTCTTCTTCTTCTCTTTTTGATGACATTATCCTTTCCAACTGTGTTGTCTCCAGTCTATTTCATCACCAAGTACCATGAGGACATCAAACACAAAAATGCAAAAGGGATGATTAAGTTTAGGTGGCCGGAGCAGAGTCTATTGACTGACAAGATTGAGAACTTGGATGGATCCCCTTGTCATTATCTTATCAGCAATCCAGGAGAAAATATATGTGCATATGGAGTTGTTGCAGCTGGCACTAAGCAGAAGGTCAAGTTCCCTTCAAACTATCAATCACACTTTAAACTATGTACACTGTTCTTGGGCAAGAGAAACTGACACAACACAAGCCAAATACGAGCGCGCCCTGATCCTACTTGATTCTACATATGGGGTGGAACCACTGCCTATGAAATAGCCAAAACCAAAAGATTTACAGCAGTTCCCAGAAAGCTTGCTGTCGCGAGCTCCTGGGATCCCAAATTTTTTTTTGTGCCTCGATTTTTCTTTGTTTTTCTGTCCTGTACGTGGCCTCGTACAGCCATAATATTCCAGGCATCATGGCCCAACTCCCCCATTTTTCAAGTTGAAGATATGGGAGTTGGACCATTGAATTCCTCTCATTTTTTTGAGTCGGAACTGGTCACCACATCGGCCATACCCAGCCCCCACCAGGCAACCGACAGGTGCCCGGAGGCCTCACCCGGCCTCGGCAGCAGATTCGCAACCTGTACAGTCATGTGTACAGGTTACGAGGCGCAAAAAAAAGCCGAAAGAAAATAAAAAAAAATCAGATCCCAGGAGCTCGCGAGCGCAAGCTTTCTGGGAACTGCTGTAGATAAAAGCACTTCAAAACCAAAAGATTCAAGAAAGAAAGAAGAAGCGCTAAACATCTATCCCTTTTCCTTTGAAGATGATTTTTGTTTCTATTATGTGAGTCTGAGAAGAACAATTGGGACAACCAGGAGAAACATGTAGGTTTCATGACCAATGTGGTTCTATTGAGCCTCTTATTCATTTAATCTGGCTCTTATGTAGCCATATATTTTGGTACAATTCCTCATGATACAAACTGTGTATTGTATTTGTTGCATTGTTGTGTGAGAAGAACAATTGGGACAACTATGTAGGAGAAACGTGTACTAGGACACAGGAGACAGATGACTACTGTTCTGCTGTTGGCATGTTTAGCTGAAACCAATGTCCATGGACCTGATCCAAATATTCGTGCTGAGTTTAGCTGAAACCGATGTCCATGGGGCCGGCTAGCTGAAATGAAGGTCCACACATTGTTCCACGAAAAATGGAATGTTTATGGCTATATAATGAGCCTCTCGCTTGAGCTCCTCTGCTGCCTATCATATCTCTACCGCCCCAGTCTCGCGCCAACGGGAAATTCAGACTGGTATGTAATTAATATTTACCTTTCTTTTGATCTGCTAGACTGTCCCCAATCCTGTTCATGTTAGTGTTACCTCGTTGACCTTGTTGACATTTGCTTTAATGCACTCGATCAACATTTTTCCCTTGTCTGATCATCAGTTACCAAAAAAGCAACATAAAAACAGACGACTGAAAAAATGACCAAACGATGCGCTTTCATGATTGCTCTTTGTTTTGCTTCCCTGATTGCCTACAGTTTTGGTGCTTTCAACGGGCCGAGTGAGTCTATAATTTCTTGATGACCCCAGACAGCTGGTTATTAGAACATCTAACCTCATACCTGACCACAAACATCACTTATCAAGTTCTTGAAGTCTCACAGTGGCGGCCAATGGCAACACTGGAGTTGAATGAAGGAAACGGAGTAGCATACCAGCTATCCAAGCTGGAAGACAAAACCACAATTCAATACCAAGCGAAGGAAACTGTCCACCAAAACCAAAGAGGGTTAATCAAGTACAAGTGGAAGCATCCATATGGCCGGGTTCAAAACTTTGGCGTTACCGATGTTCATTATCTAATCAGCAATCCGGTAACTGAAACCTGCGCATATGGAAGTGTCAGACCCGGCGGCACGCAGCGTGTCTTGTTTCCTGAAGGCCGGCCATCAACCAACTACGAGCTACGGATGCTGTTCTTGACCGAGCGAACAAACTTCCAAGACACACACCCAATCAAACTTGAGCAGGATTAGAAGATAGCCCCCCGATACTCTCATATTCAATTGCCCAGACAAATATGTTGAAAAATCTTATCGAACGATCCCATTTCTTCTTTCTATCTCTCGTTTGTCTCTTCATACATGTTCAAGTTACACTCTGTCACAACTTGTTCTCCAGTTGGGTCAAGCAAAGCACTACCCGACTCTGCTTGACCCCTCAATACTGCTGTATAGAATCAAGCTGCCAGTCGCATTGGCTTTAGTAGTCCAGACCCGAGTCTGAGATGAGAGCTTCATGCTAATCCGATACTTCCGCTTATAAGCATGGCGAGCCTCTCAATGAGGAATTCTTAAGCATCCATGTGCGTTGAATTTCTAATGCCTCAGGCAAAGTACAAACAATTCGGATGTGTTGAGTCCTGGAATTGTCAGTGTCCTGAGACCCTCGCGCAACTCGCCCAACGAGCGTCGACACACCACATTTGCTCTTTGAGTCGGGATGGATTAGCTCATTTCATGATGGACTGCGCATGACTTCAATCGTGACATTTTTTCTGCTGCTGGGAAGTATAACGAGTCCTTTTCCACCTCCTTCCCGGCTCACCTGGAGAATGATATGCTCGGTGCGCCCGTTGAAGCGATGACAGCAGGTTCTTGGCCGGTGTCAGTCACGTCCCAGGTCCATCCAGTTGAAAATGAATCCATTCGCTCGCCCACTATTTGCACTGACAGTGCCAGATGGCTGGTTTGCGCGCCTCTTCAAAAGTTGGCCGGCAATCAAATTCTCGAGTTGTATAGTTGGTCTGGGCTGGGAGGCTTCCTGCCCGGCGTCCAGGCCGAAACTTGACTGGCTCATAGAATTTGCGCAGGAATGGCCCCCATGTTGACTGTCCAACTCGAGCATAAATACTTCCCTTAACTTTGCTCCCCTATCATCCTCCGTCCCCCACCACCATCGTATCAACCTCCTGATCCATCCTCACAATCCATCCTCACAATCCGTCCTCACAATCCATCCTCACAAGCCTTTTTTATAAAATTTTATCATACACTTGAAGTGTCTTGACTCTACTCATAACCAATTTATTATAATCAGATTCCTCCAATCACAATGTCCTACGTCCATTGCCAGCATACCTCCGCCGATACGCCTCCTTGTAGGTGCCCAGTTTGGGAAGCTCCCGGAGACGAGGAACCAACCATCAAATCGTGTGATACCTGCGGTCATCGCTCGGAATGGCATTTACCTCTGGTTGAATCTACGGATAACGAAGGGGATAACGAGATGGAGCGTTGCAAATCCAGCTGGCCAAATGGCCAACCTTGCACTTGTCCAACGTGGATTGCCCCAGAAGACCCTTCCCAAAATCCTGGATGTGCCCTGTGTGGTCACAAAAAAGGCTGGCATCGCCCCACAATTGTAAGTAGCGTCCTCCGAAATCTCATTCTCACGCCGTCCGTCAGCTATTTCTGACAATCATATTCACAAACTCTTTAGACCCGGGCCTCCTCAACCCAAGGCACCCCATCCAAAATGCAACTGCCATCTCGAGCAGAAGTCTTCAAGTTAGAAGAATCAAATTGGCATTCCCGAGCGCAATCCTGTGGCACTGGAAGTGCTGATAACAGTTTGAAGGTGCGCACTTGCTCAGCCAATTCGTGGGCACCTGGTACAAAGTCGAGCTCAGCCAGCAATCAAGGCATCTCAGATCCGCCGGCGAATGGCTTCAACTCCTTCTTCACACCTGACAGTTCAACTGCATCACCCAACTCTGCCTGGTCATCCGCTAATCCACTCCCCACGGTGCATATCCCACCAGTTGAAGTTCAACTTGCCGCTGAACACATGCGATTCATTCTTTCTGAGCTAGACGATGACGAAGATGAGCAAGAGACCAGTTTTTCCAATACTCTCAACTCCCCAAGTAATCATTCTAGGGGTGAGAGTGGGAATCGCTCATTGCACAATCATGATAGATCATTTTCTCGTGCCTCACAATCTTCCTTATATTCTTTCGAAGCTCCGATGTCGAATCAACAATGGACCATGGATGGAAGGTCCCCATCGCCTTCTTTCAGGCCGGCCGACACTCAATCAATCAGATCCAATTCCTCCTCCTTTGTATCTGTAGCAATGCCGCGGGCTTCTGTGGATGTCAATACATGTTCTGGTAGCATGTCTTTTTCTTCGCTTGTGGAAGGAGTATACTCGAGGAGTCCTTCGCGCACCCAACCAAAGGACTATAATATCCGGCTTAGTGAACTGGATTTGACCGGAGGAAGCTCTAATTCTGCAAACTCACATCTCCGTCCTCCGCCCGGATTACCACTACTAGCTCAAACGACCTCAGAAACGTACGTTGAAGAATTGCCGGTGGATCGACCTAGGCATCCTTCAGAGGAGCGCACGGGCAGATTTGCCTTTAACCCTACTGATATTGCATCAAACACACCTTTGGATGAATCGGATGCAGATGGATCAGTAAAAAAAGTCAAGCCTTTCCAAAGCAACATACAATCAGTTATTCTTGAGGAAATACCAGTCTTGGACCAACATACTGAGATTGCAGCAACGCTCAAACCCATTTCATTGCCGGAACAACCCATATATAATCCTCAACAATCAGAAAGACAAAGAGTCGAATCTTATCAAACAAAAGACCAAGCGATCTCACTTTCCATTTCACCCTCACCTTCTTCAACCACGTATTCTCCTGGGGACTACTTAAATGTAACCATTCAATTAAGAAATAGCACTAACAATCAAGAAATTGTTTCGCCACTCGAATTTGAGCAGCAACTATCAAAATGGAAAAAGATTACTTTCCAACTGAGTGGTACTGTCACTCAAAACGGAACCACCGAACACGAAATTTTCAATCTCTCCCAAAATGTCTATCTTTCCGATCAACGTGAATTAAATGCAAACAAAACCGGCTGGCGATTCAAATTAAGGATACCAACACATACTAACTGCAAATGTGGCCCCGGTCATTTACCCTTACCAAGCAGTTGTTCCAATTCTGTGGTGCGTTTTTTTTTGTTTCTCCCTCTCAAATTAAAATTGCAGGAATTAATCCCTGAACTGGTATTTCACTCTATCAGGGTCACGTCAGCTATCACTTGATTTTGAAAGGAAAGAAGAAGGCGTTTTTGTCGAAGGCCTCAACTACAGCAGAGAGGTAATTATCATACTGCAATTTTGACTTGAATACGTCCCCAGCTTATCCCAGATGAAATTGATCTCTATTCACTTTCTTGACTCTTAGTTCCTTGTTCGTGGGCTTAAATTTGAAGAGCAATATATCCGATCCTCGACAACAACTTCTTACTTTCCCCGAGTCTGTTCGGCCATTAACCTCTTGGATAGGATTAAATGGTGCCCAAAAGGCTGCTATCACTAACACACTGGTCAGTAATCAAACAAATATCCTCAGCAAACTTCAAATGTGACCTGACAGTGGTTGAACGTTCGTACGAAAAATAACAGCTCACCTACCAAGTAGAATTCCTCTCAAGCAATACATTGAGAATTCTATACGAAGTAGAGCTACAATTATCTCCAGATTCAGAATTGTCTAATCGCAATTTCGGGCTATTCGAGGAGCTCTCTTCCAATTTAAAAGTGACCATCACTTCGTTGAATCAATTGATTCAATCTCATGCCAATACTGGTAATGGTTATGGCAATGTTGCACAAGAAGACTATCAAAAGAATTTCAAGACTCGTGATGTGAGATCAAAAGCGATGCCGACCAGGTCTGACACGACAGGACTGATCACTTGGAAAATTTCCGGTTATCTTCATGTTAGTTTCTTGAATGACGCTTATCGTTTGGAGTTATACCAGCTAGCTGATCCGATTGATTTTCTCACTGGTTAGATGGAGCTCTTTGGTCCAGCCGACTCCGCATCCTCACATGAGCCTATACAAAAGAAATGCTTGATGGGACAACTCAAATCTTACGCAGCTAAAGCTGATCTTCCATCCTCCGCCAAAAATATGACTTCACAATGGATCTTAAGGGCGTCTATTCAATCTGTAATTCTATCTCAGCCGCTCAACATTCGTGGCACATTGGTCGACCTCCAATCGACCTGTGCAGCCAGATCAATAGTCCAAGGAATTCCCCTCACCCTCAGATGATTTGATTTGATTTCTTTTATTTACCCCCGTTTTACTATAAACACATCTGTACAAAAACAATGAAAACCGAGTCAGGCAAAGCAACCAACTGCAGGCCAGACGTTCAGAATCTATCAATTGTTTCCTTCGCTTTATCTTGATTTGACTTTTTATATCCCCGACTCGTTTTGTGATGTTTGAATGAATAAGCTCATAACCTTGATGGTTATGCAATTAAAAAAAATTATAAATGGATCCCTAGGTCAAAGCCCCCAGTTATTCAATTTCACACTTTTTCCTTCAAACCCTTGAAATTTGATCAATAGGTCTTGTATCACTGCAACAGATGATTAACAAAACACGTGTGAGCTACTCTTCGAGTCAAAGAATTGATGATTGCCAGGTAGTTAAGCGACATGCCTTTTTGATGATCAGATCCAAGAAACATAGTCAAGGTTCCCATCCGTGAAACATTGTCCATTTCCTGCAGAAGTTCAACAGCCTTCTTGATTTTTGCTTTTTCGTTTGCTCTATTGAATAATAATGATACTAAGAACTTCAAGAACCGGTAAGGTTGGAGACTAGGACAGTTTGAAATACTGACTTCAATAAGACTTGCATAGCGTCTATTATCTGCTCCAGAGTTTCGGGTTCTAGATGCTCGCCAAACAGCCGAGCCACATGCCGCTGATCAAGTGCCTGAGGTGAGATTCAGGGACATAATTTAGCCATTACAATCGATTTCACTAGTGTAGAATGAACATATGTAATGCTGCAGTCACGTACTTCTAGCACCGAGCAGCGAAGCTCAGGCTGGCTCGACATACCCCATCTCATTTCAAAATCTGCAAAGCTTCTGACGGGTGGTATCGAATTAGTTGATGATGAACTGGGTATCTTCGTGGGTTTAGCTTCACACTTTGAAAGATCGGTGGGTGATGAGGCAGAAGTTTTTGGGTTGCGGCAAGTCAGCAAGCCGGAAGATTTTTCTTCCTTTTTTTGCCTGATCTGTTTGAGAGCACTAAAGCTAGTCCCAGCTGCAGCTTTGGTTGTGGAGTTTTTGGGATCCGAGGAAGTGAACCGTGTAGTGGAAACTTCTTTCATCAAGCTGTTGGATGAATCAGAGGATCGCTTGTCCGTAAGAGCAGTACTAGAGGAGGGACCTGGAGTCGGTTGATTGGCACTAGATGATTCAGAATCAGAGCTGACGGTCGAATTTGGCGTTGATGCGTTTGGTGGCGATGATGTTTCTGGAATTATTGCATCTTTCTGTTGAAGAATTTTTCCATCCATATTGCACGCATTACAAGATGAGCGTGGGTGTCAAGTAAGTACCGTTTGCAATGGTCAAAGTACAGACCTGGAGATGAGACTTGACGGCTTCTAACTCAGCGCAGATACTAGCGTTATTGGGTTCCAATGCAAGGGCGGCCTTCAAATCTTCAAAATCATGGTGATCATAATTGGCAGGTAGTCTGATGAGCAAGATATGTAAGACCGGATAATTAAATTGGGGATGGTAACTGAGACATTGACATACCCGCGAGTGCATCATTCCATTTATTGAGCTGTCTCCTTGCCGTCCCACGCCTGAAGAGGGCCTTACAATTAGGTTCAGGAAGGAGTTCCAGCGATTTCGTGCAGTCTGCTTCGGCCAACTTCCACCTGTTAAGTAAATCAGTATCATAGTGTCACTGTAAATTGATGATACTCGGTGGAAAACCTACTGCTGTAGCTTCAAACGGGCGAATGCACGATTGCATGGCAAAATGTGATCGGAAGGGTCCGCTTTAATAGCAGCCGTGTAGTGCTCGACAGCCGCCTGGAAGTCGGCCTTCTTAAAAGCTTCATTGCCCTGTGGGTTGAGATCAACAAAGGTTAGTTTCTCATCGAGAAAAACGCTTCTCGAAGTGATCCGAGTGTAAGAGATACAACTTGCCTTATCCTTAAACACTTGGGCAGTCGGCCGCTTATTATTCCCTGCTTCCATTTGGTTTGATGGTGTTGGCAAATTCCGGCTGCTTGGCAGGCAAAGTAGGATATCCGGCATCGGGTCATCCGGTTTCGGGGAAGCATCACCCGGGGGTCACTGATCAGTACTGCCTGTACTGCACCCTTCAGCCAATTTCTTGCACCCAGGTTGTATGCGCAGGCTCAGCCCCACCAAACCACCACCCACCCCACCACCCACCAACCCTACAACCGTTATGGAAATCAAGGTTCAGAAGGATGCAATGAACATGGAGGATTATATGCTTACTACTACAGAATCCGCGTTTAACAGACTGTTTGGCAATAGGTAAGCTCAGAATCCTAGTTTGTATGAATGAAAAAAAGAAAAAAGTTTAATCTCTGAGTGCTTGAAAAAAAGAAATCAAACAGACATGCTCTCCTCTTCTTCCTGAAATCAATTTCACCAGAGGTCAAGCTTCACGAAGTAACAACCATCAAGCGTGTATCCTCCAAGCCTCCAACACCGGTCAACACGTTTTTTTACATATCCCACAAAAGCAAAAACGCAGAGTGTGACCCAGTGGAATCCGTGGCTGCTATTAAGGGACCGCAATTAATATGGTTAGACATTTTCTGTGTCACAGATGACAACACGATTGTGAATGTGGAGATGCAAATGGTGCCCAAGACTTATTTTCTCAATCAAATGGCCTACTATTCCTCAAGGCTTATCACCGAGAAGCAAGCTTGGTCAGGAAATGAATTTCTGCCTAATCAGAAACAAAGGAAGCGCACTCAGGTCCCGTGGAACTACCAACTACCTCCAGTCTATGTGATTTTGAGATGGTCGAAGGATATCCATTATCCGCTGGCAGATACCCGCCAGCGGATGCGGATTTGGGTGCGGATGTCCTGTTTCCCCTAAAATCCAGGCGGATATCCGGGTATCCCAAGGGATACCCGGTGCCAAGACAGTGAAAATATTTTTTTTACCAAAAAAAAAAGAAAAAAAATGCCCCCCCTCGGCCTAGAGAGCAGAGGCCATGTCACCGGGAGGAATTCCTCCTGACGAGCTGGTCTAAAATCCAGCTCGCCGGGAGGAACCCCTCCCAACAAGCTGGTCTGAAATCCAGCTCGCCGGGAGGAACCCCTCCCGACAAGCTGGTCTAAAATCCAGCTCGACGGTGTGGTCATTATTCCTGTGTATGAAGGAAGAAAATTCAAAATTTTATTATTTATCAATGAAGGACTCAAGATACAGACAAATGGACGTCAGAAATGGAATCTACGGCCAATTTAACCCCTAGTCACTCACTGGAACCACCTTCATATCTCTACTGGATCAGAAGTTACGCAGAATCAAGGATGTCACACGGAGAATCACAGGATCAGAGGCACTCAGCTGGAGGGTATATTGCATGGGGGTATATTGCATATTGCATATTGAATTCCTTTTATCCATATTGAATTCCTTTTATACTTACAGAACCACAAGTTGGCCACCAGTTGTACCAGTTAAATTCCCATTTATTCAGCCACAGAACACATGAATTCCTTTCTTACAGCTTACATATAAAAGGAATGTGTTGTAGATAGTCTAGCCAAAATCCCTCAGGATTTTCAAGGATAGGGCAGCTAAAATGCCTCATACAGGGGGTCCCTTGGGGCTAAAATCCCTCATATTTTATATATAAGGAGGCCTCTGCCTGCCAGTTGTTTCCCTCCTCATCCCACTCAGTACACATTTTTGGTGGGACACCTGTCACAGATTTCACATATTTATTACACAAGAAGTTCACGAGTAGTACAGTTCACAGATTGAAATATATACACAGTTCATTTCACAAACATTACACAGAAGAGCCAGTCCTTTGTTCCAGTCCTGGTTGAAGCATAGTGCTCCCAGACCCTTTGGGTTCAAGAACCACATCTATTACATTATACATATACAGCATCAAGGAAGAAAACGAGTATCAAGACATCAAGACAAGAAACAACATCAACAACTCAATCAATTCTTTGGACAACAAGATCAACCTTCAACAATTATACAACCATCTTTGAACATAATCCATTATCACCAACCAAACTGCCAAGCTTACCTTGGTGGTCTTGTTTTCTGATAATATAGAAAGGCAGAGTTTGCAGCTCATTTCATCCCTTTCTCCATTCAGCAAAAAGGACCTTACAATCACTTTTTGAGTCTTACACCGGGACTGGGAGGAACCCCTCCCGATGACGAGCTGGTGTACATACCAGCTTGACGGGAGGAACCCCTCCTGACAAGCTGGTCTAAAATCCAGCTTGCCGGGAGGAACCCCTCCCGACGAGCTGGTCTGAAATCCAGCTCGCCGGGGGGGGGGGGGATTCCTCCCAACGAGCTGGTTTAAAATCCAGCTCGTTGGGAGGGGTTCCGCCCGGCGAGCTGGTATGTACACCAGCTTGTTGGGAGGGATTCCTCCCGACGCGCGTTTGCCCACCAGTAAATGGGCGGGTATCCGCAGATATCCGCGCGGATACCCGCCAGCACCAGCGGGTATCCGCTGGCGGATGCGGATGCCTATTTCTGCTGAAATTGTCAGCGGATATCCGCATCCGCACAGATATCCGGATTTCAATCAACCATCTCTAGTCCATATCTCACTGACTGGCGCACCACAATAGAAGAGGTATTAAACAATTGTGTAGGTCCATTCTGACTTCATTGTTGATGATTCTGATGCACAACTGACTGTCTGACCCACTGCCAACAATGTATCACAAGCTTATTGGATGTGTAAGAAGTTCAACCTGGCTGTCAAAAGGCGACACGAGACTCGTATGACATTATCCAACCTTCTGGCCAAGCAAAACCCTCACAGTCAATTGGGGAGGAACTACACTCGGGCTTTTTTCTTAAGACAGTGGACAGCTCAGCGTGCGTTTCAAGCCGATCAGACAGATGTTGAAGAAGTTCAAATGAAGAAGATGGTAGCTATGTATCAGCAAGAAAACATGATAGAACTCCTGAGGTGCATAATCTTGGGGACTGATTGTCTTCAACTAATTAATTGACTCCTTGTTTGGTTTGTTTTTCAGGTGCCGATTACGCAACCCAAGCCTCTCCCTGGCAACAGAGGCAGAAGTGCGGGACTTATTGGACTCAATTGAAGCTGAATCTGAAAAACTTAAAGAGGAGCTTGAGCGCTTGACAGGCGAATATGAACCAGCAGAAAATGGTGAGTAAACCAAAAATAAGACAATTACACAATTAGTTTTGCTGAATCCAACATCACAATTGCTTTACTAGCTGAAGAACGCAAAATGTGCCTTCTTCTTTGGAGTGCAAAATCGGAGTTGTTCGTTCAAGCTGTGCACCTTAGGGCTGAGAGGCAGCCGCTGGTTGATAGCAAGACAATCGGTTCACGGTTGGGCACAAAGTTGAAAGAAAAAACTTTCAAGGCAATCAACAACAGACGACCCACAATAGACAAGCTCATTACCAAATATAATCTACGATACTTGCAGTACAGGCTCAAGTTCCCCAACCGAAATGGCTTCGAAGCCGGCAAGGACGACAGTTTGACATATGAAAAACTTAAGACAATGCCTCTTGATGACGCTTTTTGGAATGATGGATTTTTCTACCACTGCGATGCTCCATGGGCAGTCAACCCAGATGTGAGGGAGGGTGTCAATTGTGTTCTTGTTCTTAGTAGGGTACAAGAAGAGTTTGAACTTATTTCACAAGAGCTGGTCCATATGATGGCTTGGGCAATTGGGGTCCATGAACATATTGCCAAGCAGATTGCTTACACGCAAGAACGTATGCCTTTTGTTCCCTGTGCATTCATGTATCTGCCTTTTTTTTCTAATTTTCATTCCCTGTCTCAGGAATTTCTCGTCTGAGGGACACATCATCCGAACCACCAGAAGATCACCTTGATAGAATTCATCTGACCAATATCTCCCGAAGTGACAAAGTCAAGTTGATACAGAAAGAACTTCTCAATCGACTTGCAATTCATAACAATCTGGTGGAAGAATGGTCGGAAAATGTTACTTGGCTATGGGGTTGCTGTCAGCCAACAGAAAATCAGTCGTTTGTGCAAATTTGGAATGACTTGGTGAAACAAGTCAAGCAGGAAAAACTTAACAACTTCGCAGATTTGAACAATGCCGAAGATGCTTTGGAAGAGATAGTTTCAGGGGAAGTAGTAGATGATGGTGAGGATGCTGATGGGTCTTGGGTTGATTCATAATTAACATGTGATTGCAACCCTGTTCACCATTTCAATTAAATTAATGTTTCATTTATTTCATCCTTAAACTGGTTATATACATGGATAGCATTTGTGCGTATACAGAAGTAAGCTTGAGTCAAAACCAATATAATAAATTTACAGTTTTTATGAAAAATTTCGAGCAAGCTTGATCACAAAACAAGTCAATTCAAAATCAATATAAAATGGATGCAAAGTAATAAGTCAATTCAAAATCAATATAAAATGAATGCAAAGTAATAAATAACACCTCTATAACACCTCTATCAGCTGGGCACCCAACACCTTCAATGAGAATGAGCCGGGTGACCAAAACCTTCAATGAGAATGAGTGATCAATCAATCCTGAAGGAAGGTGAGAACATGGTGAAACATTTGTGTTGAGGTGATAATGTTGGAGTATCAGTTTGTGTTTGGTGTGTTGAGGTGTTCAATTGGGTTCAATTGTGCACTCAAATTATCCAAAGAGTTCATTAATGATTCTTAAAGTTACCAAAAATCAAGGAATTTGTATTGAAACATAATCAATTGTGCTTTGGAATGACTCAGACATGATGGGTAACTGTGTGGTTGTGCACACTATAACAACCGAATCACCCATGTCACTTGGGAATAATCCTTCATGCCTGAGTCATTCCACTATAAAAACCCAATCACCCATGTCACTTGGGGATAATCCATAATGCCTGAGTCATTCCACTTCAACAACCCAGTCACCCTTGTCACTTGGGAATAATCCTTCATGCCTGAGTCATTCCACTATAACAACCCAGTTACCCATATCACTTGGGAATAATCCATAATGCCTGAGTCATTCCAATCCTTGGATTTCTTCCTTTGAATTTTAGAGTTATTAAAGATAAATCCAAGCTTTGGAATGACTCAGGCATGATGGATTATTCCCAAGTGACATGGGTCACTGGGTTGGGTTGTTATAGTGTGCACAACCCAGGCTTTGGAATGAATCAGGCATGAATGATTTTGGGAGTCATGACCTATTAAAGATAAATCCAAGCTTTGGAATCACTCACATCATGACTCACACCCAACCAAGTGACATGGGGCACATTATGTGCAGTTCTCTTTTCCAGCATCTATGATCACTTATTACACAATCATTGTGAATGATTCACCTTACTTATCTTTTTTATTCATTCCAAATACCAAAATTTACCCTATAAAATTTTGGCTTGGAATGTCAACGTGGTAAAACTATTAAATTTAGAAGCAAGTTCACTTTCCCTACTAACCATCTTGTGGCTTGAAAGCTGACAAGACCACATCACGTAAGATAGTGATTCACCATGGATTCCATTTTCATGCACCAAGTTTCATAAAAATGGTGCCAAGATTAATCTCTCCAATGTGTGTGTTCTTGATTTTTTGTGTTCTCCAATCTTTGTGTCAAAATATATTTCTTCCTTCCAACCACATGACTCATTGTTCTCCTACATAATTGAAGGACACCCCTGGCCCGGTTTTGCCTTTTGGCGTGCTGCAACTTCAACAGCATTCATCCAGTATCTTAACCTCCTCAAATCTATCGCTTCCATTAAACTTCTCAAATCCATCGCTTCCAACTCTTTTATTTCACAAATTTCTCATTGCACCTCTTTTCCATGGATCCTTACAATCATCCAACACGCTTCAATTTTAACAACAACTCATTGGCTGCTAACTTCAATTGCACTACAACAATTGACCAATCCAGACACCTTCCCCCTGATTATCACCTTGCAACATCTTGTGAGCTCAATTGCACGGATCCCATGGAATCTTTGCAAAAAACTACCTACGCTCTGGAATCGCAAGCGATTAGACATCAAGCCGCGACAACTACTTCACATCAGCTTTGACCGCCAGGCCCAAACCCCATGGGATTTCGAATCCGTGGAGCAAGCAATCAACCACACAAGATCCAACCTCAACCTTTTCCAGATTGCCGAAACACAAACACTCACAGTCCTCAAGGTCCACGGCACCAGATTCACACTCACAATCCTCAGGGTCAACCGCACCATATCCACACTTACGGTACTCACGGTCAACCACACCAGATCCAATCTCAGGCATCGTGGATACCTCTAGGATGGACTCATCCAGACACTACCTCAGCTGTGTCCCACAGAAATCCTCAATCAACCCTGTCCAACGTTCCACATCCACAGGCCTCCCTCAACACAGCACACCACCAGCCTCATTCAACAACCCCGCAGCATTCTGGCATGACCCCACATCAGGCACCAAATGACTCCCATACGCAGCTAACCCACAGCCCTGAGCACGAGGATCCTCAATTGGACCCCTTTACCACACCCAACGTACCGCCTCAAACTGCTGAGCAACTCGAATCCGAAATCCTCACTCAGATCACGGATTTCTCCAATGCAACCCAAGGCGTGACACGTGGTCAACCTCGTGGGAGGGGGCGAGGGACGTCCCGAGGCGCTTGAGGCACAAGGGGTGGCACTGGGAGAAGCCGCGGAGCAAAACCGGTGTCTACTAATAGGAATACCGACTCGGCTGGGGTTGGCGGGCGCGGATCGCTCTCCACATCTAACACCACACATACCAACCTCACTCAGGGAAGCGGCACTGGCGGAGGCTGCGGAGCAAATTCCATGTCTAACGATCCTGACCCTGTGGACTGTAGCAACAATGGGCCTGCACTCACAACGCTTGACGAGCTTCCAGAAATGTTGGAAAGCCCCAAAGAAGAGATCGATCCGGATGAACCAGCTGATGACCACAAGCGACATCAACTTGAACCGCATATCACGGACGAGCTTAGTAAGCTGTCGTTTGACAAGCTTTGTGGCCGAGCTTGAAGTATGCCAAATACCGGCGTTCTACCGCTGAAGATCGCTTTGAGTTTGGCAAAGCATAATTTGCTTATCAGCGTCAAGTGTACCTGATTGCCTGTAAACGGAAGCTGCACATCAAGCCTGAACTGTCCCACTTGGGGATGTTAAATCACACCTGAGGTCCGACCAACTTCAATCAATATTGTAAGTACGATGAGGTTGCAAGTTTGACGTACTACAACCGTAAGTCAGGAATTTTTAAGCGACTTGTCCTATTGATTGTTTGCAAATTATCTGACTTTGGCAATCTTACCAGATTTGCTTGATTACAACGAGCGGATGCGTCTTTGTGGCCTCATGTGGGGTGAAGTTGACAAGGCAACAAAGGAAAAATGGAAGGAACCCGAGTTTTTTAAGTCAAAGATAGAAGCCAACAGACAATCTGATTCTGCAAATCAGCCCCATGGTCCTTCTCCTGGTAGCGCTGTTACATGATCGCTCCCAAAGTCCCAGTTCAAACTCAACGAATGGGCTCGTGAGTTGAAACAAGATGTAAGTGAGCTATTTTAGCGGCCTTAGACTCGGTTTCTTGAACTAATATTGAAAGTCATTTTCAGTTGAGGAATTTGAGTACAGCACACAATGTCGAGGGCTCTGTGGTACTTACATCACGAGATGTGGAATCAAACATACTAATCACTGGCGGAAGTTTGCTTGGACAGCAATTCCTCGATATGATGGCACGAAAAACTCCAAATCCATGCCACAGTTTCTTCTTGTTTGTCAGCGGCTATGTTGCAATTCAAGAAACTTTGGGAGTCGACCCACCCCCTCCAGTTAAACCCAACAGGCCAACAAGACGGGTTGAAGATGAAAAGTTAGAAGCCTATAGTAAAGGTTGGTTAGAGCTTGTTGCTTTGATGTTGAGGCTGCTTAATAACATTTGGTTTTGATTGAATCTAGGTACAAAGCGACTCAATTTGGATGTGGTGCGTGAACTACTGGCTCAATCATTGAGTCAGTCGACCTCTCTTGTCTGAACATCACAATCAATTAAACTGAATTGGCTCATTTTGTTGTACATTCTTTATCAATTTGTACTTGTAGAAGATGCCACTCACGGCACCTTTAATGGTGGTTGGCCTGGCACCAACACCGATGCAGAGTTGAAGTTGGGTGTTGTATTGAAGGTCAAGAACAATACCAACGGAGTCACGACACGGGATTTTTGTGGTTGTCCCTCAGATATGGACAAGGACCGACTGAAGCGAATCCTACGCGCCTTTGGGGAGGGTTGGGTAGAGCTTACAGGACCACCAGCTCCTCAATCAGGCGAGGTTGGTGGTGTCTTGGAAGATGAGGACGGTTGCACACCTCAAAGCGACAATGCTAGCAGAGTTCGGACCGCTAGAGGATCCGGGACCGCTAGAGGATCCCGGACCGCTAGAGGATCTCGGACCGCTGGAGGATTTCGGACCGCTGGAGGATTTTGGACCGCTAGAGGATCTCGGACCGCTAGAGGATCTCGGACCGCTAGAGGATCTCGGACCACTAGAAGAGCTCAGACTGATTCAAACAGGATCCATATGAAGAAAGCCAAACATTCATCAGCACAACAACACTACTCCGAAAATCGAACCAGAAGAAAGCGATTAATAATTGATGACACTGATGACAAGGACAAGGCAAGTCCAGTGCAAACACCCCAGCAAGCAAAGAAGAAGCAACGGGTTCTGTGTCCTGAGGATAATCAAGAAGATTCATCCATGGGTGGATTGCGTCATGAAGACTTGCACTCTGATGGAGACAATTCTTCGAATGGCAGTCAATTACCAGACTTCTGAGACCACAAGGATATATCTTTTCTGCTTGATTTCCGGTATTGTTGTTGCTTTTTTATATTACTTTTTTCTGTTCTCATGTCTTCCTTTGCTCTTATATCTTTTGTGAGCCTGGGTCTCAAGAGTGACAGCAGGACACAAGGTTTTGGGGGGCACTTTTAAATGTATTTCTCAAGATAAAGGAAATACAAGTAAAAGTAGAAGAGAGGGAAAGAAGAGAAGGAAAAGAATAGAATAATCTTTTTGTTCTTTGTTTATTTTATGAAGATGTTTAAGTTCTGGCAGTCTTACTTTCCCTCTTGGATGGCTGCTGACAGTCTTACTTTCCTTAGTAGGATGGCTGTTATAAGCGGAGCTAACTCTGACGCCTCCAAATCAACAGAAACTGAAATGGGTTATTGACACTGATGAATCAGGACAACCACAATTTTTTAGATCAAAGATCAAGGCTCTTTAAAGGGAAACCTATGTAGTTTTCAGTTGTACTACCAAACAGGAAGAGTTGAGATAATAGAAGCTAGAGCTTGCTTTCTTTGATCAGGGCTTTGGTTTGATGAGGAATGAAGAGAGGTTGAGAGAAACTGAGAAAGAGAACAAGCAGAAAGATGCTAGCTAAAACTTATAAGAAGTTACTTACTAATGACACCAATGACACTGTGTAGTGGGAAAGGTGGGAAAAGTGGAGTACTTCTGGTTGATAAGTGATGGCTTGATCTGGTTCTGGTTGTTGTGGTTCTGAGTGAAAATCCTCTGGAAGCGGAATCAACAAGCTCAGAGAGGATTTTCAGAGTTGGATTACATAATAATTGTATGTACATGTGGTAGAAGGAGCTGAAGCTCAAGGTACGTGGATATTTCATAAGTACTCTGAAATATTACAAAGTCAGTGAAGGATTTGAGTAGTGTAAAAGTGGTCAGTGGTGACTAGGGTTAGAGCATCTCTAACGGTCTGGGGGTGGATCGGCTCGCCTTTGGCGGCCTGGAGTCAGATGTCCCGAGGTGTCACCGGTCTGTCACAGTTGTCCTAAATGCGGACTGTGAAGTTGAGCGGGGGTGGGTGAAACACGGCCAAAGCTGCCAAACTCAGCAGCCGAGGGCAGCTTTGGTCCACCCCCGCGATGTTCAGCAGCTCGCTCGGCAGCTCCGCTAGCAACCAAAAGAGCCTCGCGGCCCGCTGAAGTCGGTCCCAGGTCCCGCATCAGCAGGACCGTTGGAGATGCTCTTAATTTTACACCAGGAATCCAATTCTGAAGTCAGAAAAGCTAAAAGTCTTCAGGTAAAAAAGATATGATAATATTTTGAATGGACGTGGGGGATTTAGGCAGTCTTTTGGCCAGCTTGGCTGGCTCTAAGGCTGACATCTTTGGATATTGCTCTAAGATGTTTTTATTCTTCTTACATCTTTTGATTTCTAAGCAAATTTCAATTTTACCTATTATGACAAATGCATATGAGTTCGAGTGAAAAAAAAAACTCAAAGCAAAAAAAGAACATGAAATTCAAGCTACAAAAAACAATATCTTGTGTGTCAAATGGATGAGGAGTGAACCAGTCTGGAGCAGAATGAGGAGTCAAGTTGTACCAAGCAGGGGGTGAATTAGTGCCAGACAGGAATGTGACTTCAAAGTTGTTTAGGGCTGCGGTTGGTTGGGGGTGAGAGGACTGTAAGATAATTATGTGTTGTTGAGAGGAGGATTTCGGACTTGTGGTTGGTGTGATGTGGGTATGAAGTCAACAGGCCGGCTGGGGAAGAGTGATGTTGGTGTCGGTGAGTAGTTGCTCCTGTTTGGCAGGTGAGGTGTAACAGATGTTGGCCGGTGGTTGAGCCGTCAGGTAGGTTCGCTGGGCCGGCCGGCCTTACACAGTGGCGCATCGGGCGATGAGACCCGATGAGGCGTGATGTATACATGTACTTCAGGTATGCATATGTAAATGGGTATGTGCAGCTAAACCAAAAAAGCTTGTGGGCTGAGAATTCAGAATATCCAAAAAAAAAAATTCATCGACTTTGGGCAGAATCTTTTGGAAGAATACAGCAACTGTACTCTTCCAAAAGCTCGGCCACCTTCCCTTCCTCCTCCGAGGTATTTCCCCCCTTGACTGCCGGTCAGCCGCTCCGTTCCCTCCCAATGCCAAACCTCCATCACCCCCCAGGTCCTGCAATTCTGTTGGAAATTTTCTTTGGGTCAAGTTGCACAGCTGAAGTGATTCGACGACATCTAATCCCAATCCACGTTACGGTCAAGTCCCTCAGTATGTATCATACATTCATATCGTTAGTCAAACACAATCTCCGATATGAGCTGACCATCTACATATGATCTTTACTAGGGCGTCTTTTGGCTACTATGGTCTTTGTTAGATACGACCGACAGGTGAAGGTGATTGTGGTTAACATGGCCCGTCGCGGTGTGCCCCTGGATCAGATCAACAAGACGATTGATCGCTTGGTTTCACCCGAATCGCTCAGCCGGTGGATGCACATCTATAACAACACCCGGGATGTCTTGCGGGATCCAATGACCTATGAGCAACGAGGTCGTCCCTTGGCTATATCACCTGAAGAAGCGGAATTCATAATGTTGGCTCTCGACTTGGAGCCCACATTGTTCATCCATGAGATCCAGTCCCATCTCCAGGCGATGGCTGGGAACCTCCACCCACTATCAACCATAACCGACGAGTTGCGCGTACGACTCCAGTTGACCAAGAAGACCGCCCGCATGGTGCACCCTTCCCAATGCCCGATCCAACGGGCGGAATTCACTGCGAGAGTGGGGGCATTCCGCCCGAACTACTTTGTCTTCATGGGTAAGCAAGATTCCTCATTCGGTAATCATGTGGATCTCTTGGCTGAAAGTGTACAATCTGTCTTAGACGAGGCGGCTGTCTCCCTAGGCACCCACTCATGAGACCGCGCATGGGCCCGTCGGGGCCGCCGAACAAAACGTATCCCAAGGCCACTGGCTGCCCCTCGGATCACCGTTTTGCCAGCCGTCAGCTTGCAGGGGATGCTGGGGGTGATTGCTCACCAAGGGTCTATGCGTCGGGTGGATGTTGAATACTTCATCGAGGATGTGTTGGTGAGTTCGCTCCTGTTTGTCTTTGACCCCCAGTAATGTACTCATCCTCCTCTATATTGGGTTCAGATGCCTGTTATGGGTCGCCTCCCAGGGCCAAACAGTGTCCTGGTCTTGGACAATGGCGCTGTCCATCACGGGGGCAGAGTTTGAGAGATATGTGAGACTCACGGCGTCCTCCTTGTGTACTTGCCTCCGTATTCTCCGGATATGAACCCGATCAAGAAGGTCTTCTCGGTCTTGAAGAGCCGATTGAAGCGCGCCCAAATCCTCACCGGGACCAACAATTACACCGATATTGTCATGAACTTCTTGGCTCACATGGTCACCCCGGATCTCATGCAATCCCTTTTCTTGGGAAGCAGTTACTCGATTTAGATACATTTTTTCTTAACGGCTTGGTTACTCGTTTGGCTATATCTTTAGCTCCCGGCTATCTGACAGGCCGGCCCCCTCGGCTGCGTGAAATGTACTCACCTCTCCTCATCCGCTATTCTTAGTCCCCTTTGCCTCTCCTCATCTGCTATTCTTAGTCTGCTTTGTTATTTCCTGATGCTGAATATCAATGATGTTACTGGGCCGCTGTTTGGCTTGCGTTCCAACATGTTGACCATTGCAATTGGAGACAATGAATATGTTTGCACAATGGAAAAAAGTCATTACAATCTCCTGAGTTTTGGGTGTCAGGGTCTCATTCTCTTGGGACAGTATGTTTAAGCCCCCGGGCATTGGCCAGGGAGCTAGGGGGAGCCTTGCGATTGAGTCGCTTTGGCCGCGATCACATCTCACAGCGGCCAAGGTGTCTACATGTGAGACTGTTAGGTAGCCATGCTCACCGGTTTGACATGGTGACTTCACTGATAGCTCCAGGCCGAGTGGCCCTGCTTTATCTGACTGATCATGGGGGTGTTTTATGGAGGATCTCAATCAATTGTTCATTTGCATGAGCGCGAGGGGAAAACGCAATGGAATCACGGCTCGGCATGTGGAAGCATACAAGGGAGATTCATCGTAATAATGAGGGGAGCGAACTGAAGTGAAGACAAAATGAGTTGTTCATGATTAGGAATCAGGGAAGCAAACGCGCGTGCAGACAAGAAGAGTCAATCAAATTATTTCAAGGGGATATTGAACGGGCGCGATGGCCTGGGGGATACTAAATAAGAGATAGATAAACAGAAAATTATTCAATCCAGATAGATAAACAGAAAATTATTCAATCCACCGGCGCAGAGAGGGAGCCGTGAAATCAGCAGCCGGCCCAGATCATCAGAGGGCAGTCTTCTGATGTGAGGTTGCGGCCTTAGTACTCTGGGGAAAGGGCAGGATCCTGCGTGTTGCCACCCGCGAGGTTGGCAGTCGGGTCTTCCTGATCGTTGTCTTTGCCTGGCCCATCTTGTCTGGTGTCATTCGCGGCCTTGTCTGTTGGTTCGTCCGTGGGGGCTTCAGTATGAGTTGCACCCACATACTCGGCTCCATTCATGAGCTGTGAGGCAATAGGGTATGGGAAACCCATTCTCTGCAGTTGGATCACATTGGTGTTGCGGTAAAAAAACTCCCAATGCCTGATATGGGCCATGTTGATCAACACGTGTGGGACCAAGTCGTCCCTCTGGAAGTTACACAGGTCCAAGAACGTTTCCATACCAAGCGCCCGTCCTAAGTCGTTCAGAGGCGGGAGAGACCTCCTGGGGGGAATCAGGACAGCCGACCCCATGGATAACATGGCACTTGGGCCAGATCCCATGGATAAGACCTGACTGGTCCCCGCCGAGCCCACACTTGCGGTGCCATTTGAGCCGGCTATCTTCCTGGTGGGCAAGGTCTTGGGTGCGCCGCGGGAAGGACCAGAAGTATTATAGTCCAAGCGACCGACACTGATGCCACCCCCACCGGGGCTCCGGGCAATCTTGCGAGCCGGTGATCGATCAGCTGACCAGACCCCAATGTCGGTACTGGATCGGCTGCCAGGAGGACGATTAATGGTCCCCATAGGGGTCGCAGGGATCGACCGCGGGTCATCGTCGGAAACTTCGTCCAAATCCACGACGTTTCCTCAAGCCGGGGGTCCGGATTCACCCAAGCAATGTGGATCCGCTGGGGTCTCAAATGGGTCACTCGGGACACCTCTAGATTACTTGTGGGCCTTCGACTTAATGCCAGCCGGTGTGGAGGGGCCAGGAGACACGTGCGCAGGTGGGGAGGTGATCAAACGAGGAGGGCGGATTCGGCCGCCCGGCATGACCCGGGGTGCAGTGAACTGAGGCGTGTCCAATGATGACAAACCGGCCGGCCTTGCAGACTGGGCCTTGCCACCTCGGCGGTTAGCGAGCGCACTTTTTTCGGCCTGAGTGTAAATCGTGATTGGCTCCAACATGAACTCCTTGGTCACTGGGGGAATCTTGTTTGTCACGCCTTTTGCCTTGTGAACCAAGGCTCGACTCCACACATAGAGGCCATCTCGAGTGAATCGCATTGAGCACGCCGGGTTCGCCGGGTCCTTGATGTGAAGTGACTCACTGTCACATCCATATGTTGAGGTGATCCAATTGGTTATCTCCGCGCGGCAGAATCTTGGTCACATTTCGGCTGGGAAACAACTAGTCAGCATAGTCCAATCACGCATCACGGACATCACATCACGACCATCTGCTCACATTCAAAACCACACACGTTTGCAACCTATGTAAGGCCAAGCGCTCATCATTAGGCGCATAGGACATTGCAAGGCTATTATCCTGTGACTGTTCCTGCAAAGTGGACAAACAGCACGATATAAGTCATGAATCGCAAGCGGGACACATCTACTAAGACTTACAGCCTGCTTTCTCCTAGCTGACCTTGCCGGGTAGTCCATCAGTAGCTTGATTGTCACCTTCGATCCCGGCTTCTTGAGGACCGCAGCGACAAAGGGCGTAAAATCCTCGTCGGAGTAAACCAAGTACATCTTGTTGGCGCCGTAAGTCGAGTGATTCGCAAGGATGCACTGCCATTTGAGCAGCCCATTCTCCTGGAGATTGACCAGGTGATCAGCCACAAGGGGCCGCCCTTCGCGCAGCAGAGTTATGATGCACTTCTGAGCATTCGGCCAGGACCACACCTCCAAGGCCGCCTTCCATACCGTATCAAAGGTCGGAGTAATTTTCTCCCACTCTTTTGCGGTGGGACTTGAGCAACCTGGTTGTTGGCCGTTCAGTTGAAGACTATGTAATCAATGGCGATCACTCAAAGGTTCCCGGGAGTTGAAGAACCCCCTCCAGCTGCTAGTAGTTGACTCTCAGTTGAAGGATTCTTGTGGTAAATTTTTGTAAGCCGCAACAAACCTTGAGGCGGTTGAGAAGCAGCCGAATTAGTCGTCAGATTGGTCTCGAACGGCACACTTTCCCGTTTGGGTTCCCCAAGGTACAACTTTTGGCCTGCGTCCTCGACATTGGTGAATGGTAGGTGACCAAGCAAGTCATCAAGGTCAAGGTCATTCCGACCTTTCAAGTGAGACATCCCTCGTCCGACCTAGGCAAAGGCCCAAAAAACAAATTTTATGGATAAGATTCCAAAAAACCACCTTCGGTCAAATGACAGAGGAGGCTAAGTTACAAAAGCAGCCCAGGCACCAACGCGAGCAGTGATCTAGGAGATTGAGGGTGAGTGGGATCGGTGCCGACGTATCTAGGAGATTGAGGGTGAGTGGGATCGGTGTCGACGTGTTGGTGGGAGGGAACGGAGCGGCTGACCGGCAGTCAAGGGGGGAAATACCTCGGAGGAGGAAGGGAAGGTGGCCGAGCTTTTGGAAGAATACAGTTGCTGTATTCTTCCAAAAGATTCTGCCCAAAGTCAATGAAAATTTTTATTTTTGGACATTCCGAATTCTCAGCTCGCAAGCTTTTTCGGTTTAGCTGTACTTGCCCAGTGCTTCCAGCTCAAGGGGGACTTAGCGAGATATTTGCCCTCCAGGAAGATGGGCAGGGTTGGGGACTCCAGGGTCCCCAGGGTTACTGTGTTTTGGCGGGGTTGTGGTGGTTTGCAGGGTTTGAGAGCGCTTCGGGGGTTGCTGCTTAGGGGGGGGGGGGTTTAGGGTTGACCTCAGGTGGGAATAAACAGATGAAGGCCACGGGGAGAGACTTACTGTTCAGAGGAGCTTGAGAAACAAGACCAGGGTCATCACTGGTCCTCCTGGTAACAAGGAGTACGAAGATTTTCTGGTGACCCCAAAGATCATAAGATCATCACCTCTTTTCTGGTGACCGCAGATCATCTGATCATCACCTTGTGTGTCGGGGAGGGCCCCCTCCCTCTCACCCATATCATCACACCCGATTAATAAGCGGGAAGTTTCTTCTGAAGACTTGTCTTTCAGGTCTGCTTTGCCGGGAGCACATGTTCTTAGAAGGTAACTTTATAAGGGCTTCTGCGCTTGCTGCCAGTTACACAGAGTGCATGTTCGATAACTACACAGTGTCCCCAAGGTTGTGCGCTTTGCCAAGATAAGCCGTCATTAACTGTGATTTATTTGTTGTTGGATTAGCTGATCGATTATAAACTGAAGGGCGCTTATAAATCAGTCATGACCGTAACTGTGACATATCTCCTCTTCCTGGGAATCAATGGCTGGGAGCTATAACTTGTACATCTCTTAGAGTAAAGAGATCATTATTGATCCTCATTATTGACTTTACCACAATTCTGTTTACGGGATTGAACCCTTCTGGCCATGAGCTATTCAGTGAATTCAACCATTCCAATCGCTAGCAATCCACATCAGGATAGATTGTAGATTCAAATCCTTACTTATATGCACTGGCGATTCTCACCATTGTTGGGATCAAATCATCTCCAACAGTGATGGGAATTACTTTGATAAGAACACTCGCCTATATGTGTTTGCTCAAGAGGATAAATTGATTGAGCAACTTATCCAAGAGTCCCTCTGTCAGACACTGAGGCTGTAGCCCATGTGTCTACAACCTGTACTTTACCAACAAACACATGTACTGTAGTGAATTGGTTAAGGATTGTGTTATGACTTTGCCTCACCAACACACTTGGGTTCAAATCCCAATTATGTAATCTTATATTTTTATTATTTTATTTTTATACTTTTATGTTTTAAGTAATTCCACGGAATTACTTAAGTATTCACTTCTGTATTAACATTCACATATTATATACATACAGTCTGAAATCTTAATCATCTCTCTATATACTGTAATTAGAGAGATGACATCATTCTTTCTCCTTTGAGCTTGAATGACATCATTTCCTCCACTTCTAGTTTAATCTTAATTTAAATACATATTTTGATCATTTATGTTTATGTACATAAATGATCCTCTGCAGGCCTCACCGGTCTCACAGGCAGGTTGACCCCTGCCTTTGTAATACTTAAAGGGGAGGTCTTCTTCCCAAGAATCCTCCCCCCAGAGTGATTACCATACAAACCCGTCTACCTTACAATACAACCTGTGAGTGGGGTTTATAATCTACTATTAAAACCTTCTTAAAAACCTTCCCCCATCTTCTATTCCGTATCAACCTTCCTAGACTACTGTAAAGTCAATACAGTAGCCTAGAAGAGAGACTACTTAGCTCTAAGCCCGGCGACGCGACGCTCATACCGCGTACGTCCCCTTACTAAGGGTGCTTAACCCCTCCGCTTACTAGCGTCGAGGTGAGGTTCTATTTCTACTGGCTTTCACACAAAAGTTATAGTAAGACCCTTACCACCCCATCAACGCCTAGTCACTCTAGAGACCGGCGCTGACAATTGGGGGTCTGGCCGTTTTGTCTTTCCGGAGACCACTCCAAACCACTTCTAATATCGATTTTTTTATCAACACTGTTTTTTTCGGAATAAGTCCCTTCAGTACTCGCATTGCATTAGCAGTCAAGTCGGACGATTATTGAACCTATCCAGCGAGAAACCTCTTTTTTTTGTCGCCTGCGTCGTTTTTTGATATTTCTCAAAGACCACCCAGACTAACATCCTGACTCTTTTCGTTCTTCGTTTAGTCGCGACAGAAATTACACCGACATTGACTCCGCTTTTTTAGTGTGTTCAGCTTGCCAATAATCTGTCAGTTCTATCAGAACTTTATTGGCTATTCTCCTTCAGTTTAACTGAATCAAGATCTCACAACTAACATTGTTTTGTTTTCGTCTGGCTCGCTTTTGATTTTTTTTTAGTTCTGTCTATTACTCCAGCGAAAAGTGGTGATCCGACGTCTACAAAAATAAGGGACTGTAATTTGATCAGTCAGTAGTTTTTTTTTTCAGTTTAGATTTTATTGAGCATTTTAGCTTATTTTCTTACGATCTTCTTTCCTCCGAAGTGTCTACTCATTCGAACGTTTCTACCACCAAGGATTCTAAGGCGAAGCAAGCACCGGCCGCAGAACAGACCAGCTCAGCTCGATCAATAACAGCTCCCAAGAGATCTAGCACGAAAATCCCGAGGAACAAAGCAAAGAAACCTATTAGCCCAGAAATTGTGCCGTCCGAGTGGGACACGAGCTCAGAAGAAGCAACAAAGTCGGATAAACCTAAACCAACTTCCTCAACCGCTCCAGGTTTAAAGAAGTCCTCTACCACTTCCGATCCGTTTAAAAGCAAGAAACCACTCGAAAAACTCATTGATAGCGAACTCTTGAAGAACATTAGCATCAAGAAGTCCGTACCTCAAGAAGCATCGACCACTGTTGCCGTTCCGATCGTTCATACAGCAGAACCGGTCAAGCTAGTCGAGAAACAACATCCGAACGCATCCCATCATCCAGTTGATTCCAGTACTGCACAGACGGTGATTCACCAAACTCCAGTCTCATCGATTCCTCCTTCTCTCCCAAAGATTTCGAGTGACGCTGCAGTCCAGAAGAAACTCGAAAATTATTTCGTTCCCCAAGGGAGGACTACTCGATCAATCTCGTCTTCATCTTCAGTTCTGCCAAGCGGTTCTTTCACAACCGAGCCTTACGAACCCGCTGATAGCAGCGATTTAGATATTATTACAGGTTAGCAGTGGCAATAATACTACCGTGATATCGCTTCAGCCGTTGATTTTGTCTTTTCGTTATGTCCAAAACCAGGAGCCACCGCCCAACTCTGGTCGAAGCCCAAGACTTCAAAGGAGCCCCAAGAGGACGACATTCTACAAAAGTATCGCCCGTCGTTTCATCCTCTTCTTCAAACAGTGAAGTTACAACGGGAATACTACCAGAAGGCGATAGAGACGAAGGACGAGGACTTGAAGATAGTGGCTTTGAGAGCCGCTTCGTCAGCTCAGTCCGATCTACTCAGGGCGATGAATCAAGAGGAATTCCTGAACTTGTTCAACAGGTGGGACCCGATAGCGGAGTACCAAGATTATCTGACCGGCCAAGCGGGCCGAAACTATTGGAGGAAGGAAGGAGTAGCAGTGACCCCCTCGCCATCGCCAGAGGTAGAGATGAGACCTCCGGAATCGGTTCAAAGGAACCAGACGACCGACTCAGCAAACCAACATCAAGAGCCGATGAACGTTCACTACCCGGTAGGGCACCCTCCTCCGTCAGCGAATTCACGACAGTACGAACATTACCGGAACTTTCCGAACAACCCAGAGACCACTCAGGGTTACCAGCAGCACCCCGTGGTAGCCCACCACCGTCCTTCCAGTGCAAACAACCGCAGTCGCAATCGCAACCGGAACTCGAACAACAGTCGCAACCAAGAGTACAGGGCGGCAAATTTCCGCCCGAGGAACTCAAACGGCCCTCGTCATCGCACGAATTCTCAGACAGCGAGAGAAAACCGTCGCATCGCTCATCAAAGATCGATCCATCAAGAAATGATCCGCCTCAACCGTACCACTCAAGCGCAGTACCAAGCGTTAGAAGCGATGCGAGAACAGAACGCAGGGTACGGGAATCGTCGTCAACCCCAAGAGGGAGAGGAGAATCAAAACTACTAACTGCAGAACAGTTAGTCCCTCTCCTGCAGAATCTTTTTTATTCTATTGAGAAAATTATTGACTGTAATTTTGCTGCTGTCTCTGAACAGATCAGGTCAGAATCCTCCATAGATATTAAGAATCTTTTTAGTCACAAGTTTGACTCCATAGAGCCTCATTTCCGTTCCCTTTCTTTCTCATCTGAAAACACCATTGCTTATCTCAACAAGATTATGAGTTCCCTTTCCCCCATAGAAAAAATTTCAAAAGACACTTTTAAGGACATTTCTCTAGTTAAAGAAAATATTTCTCAAATTTCTACTTTTTCTGTTCCTGCTACAGTTATGAATGAATTAAAAAATATTCAGGGGAGTTTAAAATCCATTGACAATAGAGAAGATTTATCTCATAGAGCTTTTGATAATTTGTTTTCACTGGTTTATGATAAATTAGAAGAGAATAAAAAGAAATTAGATATGTTTTTACAAGACTTTGGAGACAAATTGTCATCCAATGATTTTGGCAAAGTACCATTTAGTAATCAGCCAAAGGAACCAGTCCAGGATTTGTTCCCTTCTTCCTCCTCTTTAAATATCAAGATTGACAAAGGCAAACAACCAGAGAAATGTCATGATTCCTTCAAGCCCTCTTTGTCTGTCAGCAATGACAATCAAACCTTAGGTAATAATATTTGTTCTTGTCATGCAAAAATTTCAGAATTGAAATTTGAGCATGAATTACTTAAAGAGGTAAATGATAAGTTAGACTGCCTTATTGAATTGGGAAATCAACCTGTCTCTGATATTAATTCCAAATTATTAGTGATGGAAAGTAATAATGAGAAAAGATTTAATGCTCTGTTGGAAAAAATTAGTGAAATGAAATGTGTCCCTGGAGTTTCAACTTCATATCCCACTGCCTCTAGAAATGAACCAAATTTCTCCACACGCAGGAATACAGTTCCCTCTGCTTATCCAGAAGTGAAACCAAATCAGAATGCTTCTTGGAACAATAACCAGGAATTTTTCAAAATTCACAATAAAAGTACTGATCCTGATCCAGGCAGACTTAGTGAATTTTTTGATATTCCAGAGGTTCAACCCAGAGAAACCCCTGTGGCGCCAATCCAAATTTCCCCTGAGTCAAGTAAAGTCATTTTACAAGGTCTAACCAAGATGGAAGCCTGGCCTGTATTCTCAGGTGATGGAGAATATAACCATGTGGACTTTATTAAAACTATTGACACAATTCAAGAGGATTCCAGGATTGAAGACATTGTCATCACCTCAAGGCTGAAGTATATGTTTACAGGTTCAGCCCGCCCCTGGTTTTCTACTGTAAGAGATATGGTTGGTGATCAATCCTGGTCTTTTTGGAAAAAGGCAATCAACAAAAAGTTTGGGACCTCATCTTGGAGAAGGAAATTGTTGAACATTTACTTGAAAGATAAATTCATCCCAGGTAGTACCCCAGCAGGAAATTGGGTTACTAGGCAATACAAAAGAATTATGGCTTGTGAGCCTCAAACCAACCATGAGAGCTTGATGTTTAAATTGTTGACACAGATGGATGGAGAAGTGAGCTTTGCTGCCCAGAATGCCATGAAAGACAATCAGACACTAACATCCTTAATTAATGTGTTGGAAGACATTACTGACTACACCAGTATAGGTAAGAGAAGAACTCCTTACGGACAAAGTAACAAGAGTTATGCGTCCGGCAGTACTACAGATAAAGTGACTAATCCAACGTCTAAGTCTAATCAAGATGTTAAGTGCTATTCTTGTGAAAAAATGGGTCATACTTCCAGGAATTGCCCTAAAAATTCTAAGAAAGTAAATATCATTAATGAAGAAGATTGCAAAGAGGATGCAGGTATGGATTCTGAGAGTGACTTAGGATTGGAGGATGACTCACCTGGAATTATCTGTGTAGAATCCAACGCATTGGATTACTTTATTACTTCCATTGCAGGAAGCAACAAAGTAGTGGCTATGAGCTGCGCAGGAAAAAGTTGTAAAGTACTTTTGGATTCTGGTGCTTTCAAGTCAGTAGTGGGTCAACAATATTTGGCTAAGTATTGCCCGCATTGGAAAAAATTTGTTAGAAGTCAATCCAAAGATAAATTTCATAGCTGTTCAGACAAATTGTCCACTTTAGGTATTGTCAGGGTTAACCTAAAGTTTAAAGATTACTCCTTTGTAATTGACTTTATAGTAATTGAGAATGCAGTTGTTAATTATTTTATTATTGGCAATGATTACTTAAGTCATTTCAAAATTTCCATCATGAACGATGCAGGTAGTTACTTTAAGATTGGGGACAGTAATGATAAGTACTACTTTCATCAAGAGACGTCTCCCACAGTAGCCGTCACTTTACCTGAACAAAATTGTTTTGATAAAGAAGTGCAAGACAGCTCCAAAATTAGTTCTTCTTTGTCCTCTACACAAAAAGACCAACTTCTTCAATTGCTTTTTGTTAACAGGAAGGCCTTTGCTACTGTAGAAGAACCATTTGGAGCCATTAAAGGACACGAGGTCAAATTGACTTTGAATATTGATAAACCTTACCCTCCAGCTCTGAGGAAAGCCCCTTACCCTGCTAGCCCCAGAAGCAGAGAGGCTTTAGAAGAACATATTCAAGCTTTGTTGAAACTTAAAGTCATTAGAAAGGTAGGTGCAAATGAAAATGTAGACATCACTACTCCAGTTATTATAGCTTGGCATAATAATAAGTCCAGATTAGTGGGTGACTTTAGAGCTCTTAACAGTTACACCAACCCAGATAGGTATCCTATGCCCAAAATTATGGAGTCTTTAACTAAATTACATAAAGCTAAGTACATTACGTGCATGGATGTCCTTAAGGGCTTTCATCAAAATGTGATTCACAAGGACAGTAGACAATTCCTCAGGATTGTTTGTCACTTAGGTATTTTTGAGTACCTTAGAATGCCTTTTGGTATCAAAAATGCCCCTTCACATTTTCAGCGTATGATGGACACTGAATTTTCACATGAGTTGAATCAACTCTGGCTTATTATATACATAGATGACATTATAATTTTTTCAGATAACTGGGAAGATCATTTGTCACGCTTGGAAATTATTCTTCAGAGAATTATCAAGATGAATATGAAAATATCTTTGTCAAAATGCCAGTTTGGTTTTCAGGAACTTAAAGCTTTAGGTCATATTGTTAATGGTCTATCCTTGGGCATAGATAAGCATAGAGTTGCTGCAGTCTTACTCAAGCCCACACCCCAAAATACAAAAGAAATGCAGATGTTCCTTGGTTTTGCGGGTTACTACAGACTACACATCAAAGACTTTGGGGCTATGGCTTCAAGTCTTTACAAATTATGTAGTCCTACTGTAGTCTTTGAAATGACAGCAGAAAGAGTACAAGCTTATGAATCCATTAAGTTTGCCTTGACTAATGCACCTCTGTTGTTTCATCCTGACCCTAAAGAAAGATTTAAACTTTATGTGGACGCTTGTATGGAAGGTATAGGAGCTGCCTTACATCAAGTACAAATAATTGATGACAAACCTATGGAAGGTCCCATCTGTTTTATCTCACGGCAACTCAAAGAATCTGAAAAGAAATATGGAGCTTCTCAGCTAGAATGCCTTTGCCTGGTTTGGGCACTGGATAAACTTTATTATTATCTTGATGGATGTGAGTTTGATGTGATCACGGATTGCAACGCTTTAAGATCTTTGTTAAATATGAAGACACCCAACAGGCACATGCTTAGGTGGCAAATTGCAATCCAAGAATGGAGAGGCTCTATGACGATTGTTCATAGGGAAGGCATTATCCATAAGAATGCAGACGGCCTTTCAAGGTGGGCTCTTCCCAATAATCCAGATAATCCTGCCTACGATGCAGAAGATGCAGAGACTGGAACTCCAGTTACTTCTATTTTGCCGTCTCCGATGAGGATGTCTGAATGTCTAGCTCATTGGGCTTTACCTAATGATGAAAACAACCCAGCCTTTGAAAAAGAATACTTTGTTGACAGCAATCCTATTATGGCTATTTCAGTATCAGGCTTGTCTTCTTCATTCTGGGAACTGATTGAGAAGAGTTATGACTCTAACAGTAACACGGTGATTCTTAAGAAATTACTTAAGTCTCCATACGCAGACAAAGGTCTTATAGAAGGTTTGGAAGGTGTTTGGAAGAAACACTTTTTGGAAGACAGGTTTGTCATGCTAGATGGGTTACTATATCACAGACGTGAACATAACTCATCAGTGGTTCTGCTAGATCCTAGCCACATAAGTATTATTTTGAATGAGTGTCATGACAGTATTACTTCTGGCCACTTTTCTAAGGAAAGAACCTTGAATAGAGTTCAAAACCTAGCTTGGTGGCCTGATTGGAAAAACCAAGTCTCTGAGTACTGTGACTCTTGTGAAAGATGCCAAAAGGCCAACAAAGCAACTGGCAAAAGATTTGGCCTTTTACAAACTATCGAAGAACCTAAGACTCGTTGGGAAATAATCAATATGGATTTCGTGACAGCTTTACCACCTGCAGGAACTGATAATTTTAATGCAGTGTTAGTAGTTTGTGACAGATTCTCCAAAAGAGCTAGGTTCCTCCCTTGTTACAAGGATAGTAGTGCTATGGATATAGCACTCATTTTTTGGAACAACATAGTAAGTGATGTAGGTTGCCCTAGAATAATTATAAGTGATAGAGATCCAAAATTTACTTCTGATTTTTGGCAAAATCTTTTTGAAATTCTGGGTACCAAGTTAGCTTTTTCAACTGCTTATCATCCTCAAACAGATGGGTTAGCTGAGAGAATGATTCAAACATTAGAAGACATGATAAGAAGATATTGTGCCTATGGTTTAGACTTTAAAACAAGTGATGGTTATACGCATGATTGGGTATCCCTCTTACCTGCACTAGAATTTGCTTACAACTCTAGCAAACATTCAGTAACTGAAATTGCTCCTTTTGAACTTGAGAGAGGATGGATCCCTAGTATGCCTAAGGAC